TCGCCTTCCTTCCCCGGACATTTCGGAACGCTGGCGTGCCAGTCGCGCCCCCGCCGGTTACGGTAGGGTGGACGTGATGAGGTAGGTCATCTTGGGGCGCAACCTGTGTGGCCGCGAAGGTGATAAAAGTCGTTCCTGCATCGTCACCCCCGGCACGATCGTCGCTGTTTTCCGGCAAATGTTCGTGCGACCGGGCTGCTCCGCGTGCATGCACCACCCCGTTGTCCGTTTGACTCCGCCCTGGACAGGCATGGGGCCGGTTGAAAGGAAAGCGACTTCGTCGTCGACGGGATCGCCAGATCCAAGCCTGCCCCACGACGGCCGCCACGAACGGGACGAGCCCTAAACCCCAAAAAGACGCGGTACAAGGACGGGTGATGGTAGACGATGTAAAAGACCACACTTGTTGCCATTGCTCCCTTGCGTTGCTGGAGTTGCTGGTGGGAGGACATTTGTACGGGGAGGGCTGCATGCTTTTTACGATGGGCTATTTACCTCCTACCCTCCACCCCCGTGCCCCGTTTTTCCCAAAGCACCTTGTCCAAGTAATTTTTGTCCGATAGCCTGTCTCCATATGCGTATGTGCAGAGTGTCAGAAGGCCGTGCGTGCACATGTCTACGGTCTAGAGTTTTTAAGCCGTCGTGATTAATCAACTCCTCATAATGAACGCGGAGACGTCACGTGTTTGAGCGTTGCTATTCGACAGCAACAGGGCCGTTACCCCGAGGAGAACAAAAACACAGGTACACGACCCCCGCCCCACCGCAGTTTTCACGTCATTTTATGCAAAGAAGAGGGGAGCAATGGCTTTACGAAGAGCTTTACATGTCTCTGTGGCGCGGAGACTCAGGGCAGAGATTCGTGGGAAGCTTCGTCGTCCGCGACCCGTCCGTCATCCTATTCCTTCTCACTTCTCGTTCAAAAAGACGTCATCGTGCACTTTGGACCCCCCAAAAATCTTCAAACGTGCGTGCACAGAAATAAACGCATGTCTCCTCCGGGCTCCACTGGGTGCACGTCTCTTTGGAGCGAGCTTTCTGCGACCAGTGTAGCACATCCGATAACCTCCCGTTAAAGCTTCCAGGCATCACTCCCGATGCTATTTACACTAAAACATTTGTGACCACGTTCCACATTCTGCTCGTAGAAAGATTTATTGTGTGCAGAAATGAGCGACTGGCATTTTATTAGAGAGAGGCTTAGGAATGAATGCACACATTTATTTTAACCTCTTATGTGGCTGCGGAGGAGCATAGCAGACGATCTCAGTCCATCCATCTTTGAAATCATCCTTGCCCATACACACAACGAAAATTTACATTTAATAAATTTATTGAACCTCTTCAACAATTTTTGACACAGCTTTTTAAATACATTACATGTCGGGCTCCGACTGCTCAATGCTATGCCTTACGGGATGATATTTTTCCGGCCCATACTTATTGATGTCAGTAATGCGCGTGCTGACACGCGTTATATATCTAACGCTTCTCATGTACAACGGATAGTTGTGTCAAACTAGTGCGACCTCACGAGTCCTATTTGCTCATAAAGATGTCAGTTTCTTTATTTGTGGGATGAGATAAAGAAAGAGAAGCACTCCCCCCTTCCTTGCAATCCGCACGGCCGATGTACAGAAAATTTGTAAAGGTCAATCATCGAATAAAAAATCCCTCACCGCCACAGCCCTCATTATATACCCTCTTTATTTACAATGCACTTGTCCACCTCGTTCAAGATCCCGGACAAAAAACATAAAAGAGAATAGACGGATTGCCTCGAAGGTGGATTGAACACCTGACCGCACGATCTTCAGTCGTGCGCTCTCCCAACTGAGCTATCGAGGCCAGTCTACTTTTTCTCCCATACTCATACATCTAAAAATGGACCAACATCGGCTGTACTTCACTTTGACCTCGGGGCTTACAACATTAAGCGGTGTCTTTGATGGTATTATTTGCGGCTCGAGGTCTTTGTATTTTGGTTTGTAGGCATGATGTGGAAAAGTCTCGGTCACGCGATTTTCGCTGCTCTTCTGTCAAAGCTGGAAACATTCCTTTCACTACCATTGTGTCGTGTCCTACGTCCATTTTGCTGACTGAGTGAATGGCAAAGCTTGTATCAGGCAGATCTGTTCATCATTTTCATATTCATCCAAAAAAGTTCGTGAGTGGGTATGTTGTCGCTCTGGCTTTGTGGCTCTGTCAACATGACATGGGCCGTCTTCTTTGCCTCGCTACCTTTTTTTCTCCTCCCAAATAAGGACAGCGTTGGCGTAGCATATACAGTTTCAAATCGAATTTTATTTAAATTATGGTCATAAGTCAAGGCTTTCCTTAAAACAATTAATATTTTTGAATCAAATGATCACTACCTGAGCCTGGCCCTTGTTCTCTGCATGGTCGGCATAGTCTACCCCACAGCTTAACCCTCAAAAATCTCGCTTGGGCCACACGTATATTGAAATAATTAAACCATTAAGCTTACCCAATTGGACGTAACAAATTCACCATCATTTCTTTATTCATTAATGCGCGCTCAATCTCCAAGTGTGTCTCCACCCTTGGACTCACAGATAAGCGCTGTAAATCGGGCACCAGACACACCCCGATCTTATTCCTGGTACATCTACAATTTTTCCCCACCCTGTCAACCTGCCTCCCTCATGCATTGCCTTCCTTCCTAACATCGCACCCTCTCCGCCCACCGCACCTGCGTCATCTCCATCAACTCCTCGAACAAATCCGGACAGAGCCCCGGCCGCATTTCGGAGTCCAAAACAAACTTCAGGACTGCCCGTACCTTTTCTCGTTCACGTCTTCCTCCCTCCTCCTCCCCATCTTCCTCCTGCTCTGTGCTCCCACTCGCCCTTTTCGTCATGCGTGCATCTACCTTCCTTTCCCTCCCATGTACCTGCCCTCCCCCTCCAAACTCCTCACGCGCCCCTCCTTCCCTCCCTCCTTCCCTCTCTCCCTCCCGCCCTCCGTCCCTTCCTCCCTTCCTCCCCCCCCCCT